CATTCTGGGATGAAGCTGCGTGATATGCATCCATGCTAATCAACCAATTGCCTTTGAAAGCTTTACATTGGAAGTGTGCAATGAGCTTATTTCAAGACACTCAGTCAATAATCAAACCAAGAAGAAACTTGACCAGTAAAATCCCGTTTGTATTGAAGGTGAAGTGATATTGATGGAAAGAGCTGGTCCCTATCTCTGACAAGCAAACCTACTTGTTTCTTGGTTATGAAACTTTCTCAGAATTGGATAGTTTTATAGACAACAAATCCCACATAAGATACTGTTGAGTCGAAGCTATTTGTTCCCAGCATCAAATTTCCAATATAACAAACCCAATGCACTCAAAAAATAGCCAGAATCCTTACCAATCATTATATTGACAGATCTATCAATCGAGAGAAAAACTTCTAAAGTAAGAATCAGGATTGTTTTGATGAAAGCAATCCAGCCTAGTGGACCCACACCAATGGAGTCAACTGTGACAGATTGTACTAGCTCACCAGCACCACCTGATACTCAAACACATCAATATGTACCTTATTTTGACAAAGCTCCTAAAGATAGAGACTCAAGAATTGAGACGAGGAACATCCTAGGCTTAACTAGAAGATCAAACAATAATCCTTCTGCCAATTACTGGGTCCATCAATAAACAAAGACTTTAGATACTGATTCAATCAACTATAGGATGAATATGATGAATTCATCTACAAGACTGAATATTGCATGTTCCATCCCGGCGAGTCAGTTTCAGCAAAGCTCAACAGTGTCACAATTGAGGAGGGTTGTTAAGGTTGAATCATCTGTAGCACAGTTGAGGAGGGGTGTTGGAGTTATTAACAACTGCACAACAGAAGATTTCTCAACTGAATCACTACCTGAGCATAAAAGGAGTAAAATTTAGTATCTGGAGTGTCAATACTCCCATTTCTGAAGATCTCAGTTCTGAACTTGTTCATCTCATTGGGATTCAACCCAAAGAATAATCAACTCAAATCAACATTTACAGAAACTTCAAGGCACATCACACTCCAACAACCCTCCTCCAATTAACCTCCAGTTCAAGGCCATCAATTCTTGTATCTAAATAAATATAATTGAAGAATCACAGTAGTGTTATTATTAAGGTATTGCTCTTACTTTAATCAATAACTCTATACTCTGCTATTCATGATATTGATTTCATATTATTATTATGTTCATTCATTGTTACAGAGTGAAATGCAATACTTCATCCAATCTATCTAAATAAGAAGGACACAACACCTAAAATAATCACAATTGAATGGTTTTTTTTTTTTTATTCACAGAAATTAAATTTCTTCCTTCACAGAGTAGTGACTACAAGACAAGAAACATGCACACAAGATTTATTGACTGTAAAACCAGCATTATTGAGAAGAAAAAAAAAAGAAAAGAATTAAATTAATTGCATCAATGCCAGAGAAAGGTGAGTCACAGCTTCATATAAATCAGACTCAGATGAAAGCCTGGCATGTGATTCTGATGGAAGGAAGGTAGTGTCATCTGGCTCAGAACTAGGATTGAGTTTGGGCTTGTGATGATAATTGGGCAACATGGAAATATTCAAATGCTTCCTTACTTTCTTGCTCTCATCTCCTTGATATTCTATCATTGTTTTTCAGTTTTGCCTTTTAAAATATTGAAGGTCAATATCTTCTGTGAGGAGTTATAAATCCTTCTACATGATGGAGATCTCTATCTGCTCTTGTTTGATGATGATATTCTACAATTATTTATCTGCATGTTTTTTCTGGATATTATGTTTGTCTTACCTTGTAGGTCATTTGGGCAACTCATCTGATCACTATATCAAGTACATTATTTTGCATTATGCTTCAGGAAGTTAATTTTTTTTAATTTTCAAGCTACTGCATTTTCACTTGCTTCTTGAAGATCTTGATTCCTGAATATGGTCAGTTGTCAGTGGAAGGATCATCCTGAGAAGGTCTATTTGGAATTGTGTTTGGGCTACTCAGATTTTCATTTGTGAGAGAAGATTGGAGGTTCAGATGTTCCCTCCAAGGTCAAGTTGGACCTAGCAGTGGTAGTGGCTTGGAATCCACATTCACATCATGTTTCATGGTCTCGGAGGTTGTATCAGCATGATTTGAGTGCTCAAGGCTTCCTTGCTTCATTTTAGTATGCCTCTCCAGCTTGTTTCATCAGCTTTTCTGTCATTCCAGACAAGAGAGACATGATTTGATCATGTTATAAATCACAGAAAAATTGAGAGTTTCCTTGCAGATGACAACATCCCATCTGGTTTATACATAGGAAATTTATTTATTTATTTATTTATTTATCTATTTTTTTTTATTAAAAATCCAATTTTTCATGAAAATGAGAGAGAAATCTTATCTGTTTGAAAGGCTTTTTTTTTTTTTTTTGTCTCTGTTAAATTACCGGTTTATGGGTAGATAGAATTAATGTGACATCAGATTCCAAAACAAAACAAAACCAAAAAAAAAAAAAAAAAATCCTCTTTATTTTGAGAGTTGATGAATGATGGGGTTGGTAGATATTTTGATGAATCTGTGAGAGAGATTGATACCTTCTGTTAGGGTGAAGTTTCCCTGTTGTATCTTGGTATAAGTCACCGGTGCCTAGGAGATTGGGATATGCCACCCCCCGACTTGAGAGGATATACTACCGTATATTTCTAACCTGAGGGTTGTACATGCATACTCAAAATATGCTCGACCCAGGGTCTAAGTAGTTACAGATATCTGAAAGTATGTAATGATTTTTTCTAACACTTCACTACTTTATTCCAGTGTGTTTATTTTTCAGGTTAAGGCAGGTCAAATTGCCTTAACAGGATGGCCTTTATCATTCTTGTTCAGTCAACTATCACAAAACTTGCGTCTGTGATTTCCCATCCTGACCTGGTCACCTCAACACATCACTTTCACTTCCCCCTTATTCTTCTTTTTTGTTTCCGCCTCCTTCAAGCCCTGTGGCCTGAAGACAGATGGGTATTTTGTGCCACATGAGCACATTGATGCTTCTAGTGAGCAGCTGCCAAAACAACCTGCAACCACAACATCAAAATTTTAACCAGTTTGTTATTATTGGGTGAAGATTCACATAAGCATGTAATGATTAATGAGAGAAAGCAGAGAAAGTGTCCAGGAATAAATATTCCAGCAGGGTATGTAAATGAGGGGTTTTCACATGGTACACACCAATGTAATTGATGAAGATGTGTGTGATGGAGGTTTTTTTTTTTGAGTGGGAGTGGCACTAGATTCATACTTCTGTGACCTGCTTGACAACACATACCCTCGCAGGACAAGGCCAACCCGATGAGTTCTCGTGAGTGCAGAGTTCAATATTGGTGGGGTTAGTGCTAGAGATACTATCAGAGGAAGACATCCAAGAGAGTTTTGCGAAAAAAAAAAGTTACAGAAAATCAGAAACGTCGAGGAGGATTTTAGCCCAATCGAACACACCAAATTTTTTCTTGGGGAAGCTACTCGTTCCAAAGGTCTTTCTGGCCCCAAACATCGGCGACAGCAGCGATGACCATCCAGGCGGGGGCAGCCTCTTGGAGGGCGTCGTCGGAGTAGTGGTGTTGGAGTTGCATTGCGGCGTTAGAGATACGGACGACGTGTTTGCAAGTGCGGGCGAGTTGGCGGAGCTTGAACACGTCCTCTGACGTCAGCACGCTATCCAACACCGCCAACAGGCCCAGTAGCCATGCCCCATCCGACGGCGAAAGTAACACAATCTCTTGCACCTCCCCCGCTTCTGCTCCTCCCACTCCTCCTCTCTCCTCCTCCCTCCCCTCCCCCAACTCTACCATCCGCGCTAACGCCCCAATCCGCTCTTGTATCCATACTTGGTAGTGCGATAATACCGCGATCACCGTCGTCTAATCACCAACAACAATACCAAAAAAGAAAGGCGTAAATAATTGAATTGATCCAATATTCTCTCAAATCCCAAAGAAACGAACCTGTTCCAAGGCTTTGAGAAAGAGAGGGATGGGCTGTCTTGGGGGAAACTCGAGGGGAGAATTTTTTTTACCGGCGATGAAGATTTTCCAATTGGAGAGATCATTATCGGGAGGAGGTCTACGAAAGAGGTCGTCGAGCTGCCAATGGAGAGGATCGAGAGCTTGGAAGCTCTACGAGTGAGCCAAGCGGCAGAGACAGAGACAGCAAGGAACGCGCGGAGAGACGAGACGAGGGGTTAACTACTGGATTCATCCATAACTTGGCGCCGACATATGAACACATCAGATGGAGTGATAGAGCCCAGACCCGCGCGTGGGCTTACTTGCCGCATGTTGGTGAACCGTTCGATGAACCTCTTTCTCCAGGAATCGTAGGGCGTGGAGGGGATGGTGATAGGCGACAGTCTTACGGATGAAGGGCGGGATGAGGAAGAAGATTTGAAAGGGTTGTGTTTGGCTACGACCCGAGGTCTAGCCCTAGCTTCGCGTCTACAAGAGAACCACAGCTCCTGTTGAGAGAGAGAGAGAGAGAGAGAGCGAGACTATGTACCAACGAGAAAGGAAATCGAGACCGAGGAAGAAGGAGATAAGTGTACGGACCGTACGGTGAAGAGATACTCGGCGCCGTCGGCGGGGATGCCGTCCCAATCGGCTCTGAGGGAGTCGGAGACGGGCAAGGCCTGTGAGCCGAGGCCGCCTCGGGGTACATCATGACCCGCTCCTCCCTCCCCAGAGTGCTCCCAAAAATCTTCCGATTCCGCACCGAAATCGATCGTATAGCCAATCGGAAACTGTTCCTCCGCCTCATCTAAGAGTGATCCGTCCTCATCAGCTTCTTCTTCGTATTCCCATTCTTCTTCGTTCATCGGCTCCATCGTTTTCGATATTGGGTCTCGGCGGGGATCAGATGTTCGTAATGAGGCGGAGACTATGAATGAGACCTTAACACAGCCATTATAAAGAACAAGGCATCAACCTAAGAATGTGATTTCTAAATGATCACAGGAGACCACCGTCTGGGGCTCTAGCTCATATGGTAGAGCGTTCGCTTCGCATCGATGCGACCAGGAATCTGCGAGAGGCACAGGGTTCGATTCCCTGGTGCTCCACATCTTTTGACTACTACTCCCTTGGCAGAAGCAAACTCAGCACCAATTCTGCCTGCGTTGGAATAGGTGAAGATGAGGGAATTTATTCTTTTTTGATTGCAGCCACGCCAAAAAATAGTACTATCAGGGAAAGAGGGCTCGGATTGCAAACTATTACACTTTAGAAAATCACACTAAATCCGTCATCCCACAGCAAAAAAACATGCCCAGACACCGTCCAAGAAAATTCCAAGCAGAACCACATAACAAGCAGAGGAACCCAGCCACAAACATCCATCATCTCCTTCGACAGGCCCATACCTCACACACTCGGGACATACATGATCAGTAACCAGTCAACAAGAAACCATGAGATGGTTTCAAGCAAATAGTTTCCGTCTTACATGAAGAGAGAGCAAGGGGGAGTCAGACAGAGAGCAATGCCGTTTGCGGGTGAGACTGCTGTTGGCTTCCTCCGAGGTTATGTGGTCTCCTCTTTCTCTTCTTGGTCGGTCGGGACATGCTGCTTTAAACAAGGCGGTCAGGTTTACGTTTTCTTATGGTTTCTAATTTTCGTCATTGCCCAGAATAAATATATAGAAAAAAATGGTGGTGGGGGGGGGGATCAGAGTAGGACGCTTGTAAACCGAAGAAGAACCAAAGCTTCGGTTGATCTACTCAAAAAAAAAAAGGCAAGACACGGGTCATCTCGGGTAGAGAGACGCATGAAGAAAGGAGGCATCTAGACGGCGGGCAAGGCAGAGAGGGAAGTACGATACTCTGGGCGGTAAATGATCGGCTGTTGTCCGACGCAAAGAACAATATCGCACTATGAATGGGTCAGATTGAATTACACTGGTTGTAATGATCATGGAGGAGGCAAGTTAGTTTTAGGGTTGTAGAACAAAGTCTAAGCCAACCACACACAAGAAAAAAAAAAAAAAAAACCATCAGTTCAATCATCGCTACACATCCTCGGGAGGGAATGGGATTAGTAGACCCACATGGTTTCCCCAAGGAAAGCTCTTATTGCGAATGTTCAAGTAATCATAATGGATTCTCTCTGGGAGTTCGCCCCCGTTTTCCTCCTTGATATGTTCACTTATTTAAAAAGCAAATCCAAGGCATGAAGAGTTAGTCATTCCAAGGTAGCCGAGCAGTGGTGAAGTTTTGACCAACAGATGATGCTCATGTTCCTTGGCCAGATTGTAGGCATTCACGAGGGCGAGGACGATCGAGGGGAAAGCGACGTAGTACCTATTCAAGAAATCAGTGGTTGAGCTAATCACCATTTGACATTCGACTACAGGAGAGGGAGATCGACCCACGTTATCTTTCTCCAAAGCTCAGAAGATTTAGCCGCATGACTCTTGATCGCCTCTCGTTCCTTCACAAACGCCTCACCCAGTACATCTCCACCAGCACTATTGACATGAAAAAAAATAAAAAAAAGAGAAGGATCAGGGGATAGTGAGCCGGGGTCAGCGTTGATTGATGATTTGCAGGGAGACGGACGACTGGCTTCGGTCTAGGCAGAACGACCGAGGGGTTAGATCAAGAGAATGTGACTTACGTGGCGTAGTTCTGGCGTGGGATGGAGCGGACGAGTAAGGGTCGGATGGCGGGTCTGAGTGGCTGAAGCATGGTGACCTGTATGCTGGTGTTTGGTTTTGAGATTTCCGGTACTTTTCGGGGGATCCTTCTGCGCCAAAGGTCATGATGGAGCAGACGGGGCCGGCTGACATAAGCATCAGCGCCCTCGATACTAGCATCAGCGCCCTCGATACTAGCATCAGCAACAGAAAATCATTTCTCAAAACTCAATGGAGGCCTTTCTTCCCGTCGTCTCAGATTCCTTAGCATTTCTAAACCTGGATTCTTAATCTTATTGGGTCGTAGGAACTTGATTGTCATCCATTTTTACCACCAAACACAAGGATTTGGGAACATGCAGTCCAGATTTGGGACATTTGCTGACAGGAAGACCTCCAATATCTCTTTCAACTTGCACATGAATATCTTGATCTACAGCAGAGGAAGAGATAGCAAGTAATGGATTGATGGGAATAGTGGGATGTAAGGGCAATAGGAATTGTCCATTATAACATGACGATCAAACAGAAGGATAAGACAAGCAGCAACCAAAAAAAAAAGAAAAAAGAAAAAAAAAAAAGAGGAGAAGAGAATACATGTGTTCAGGTATTCGGAATACAACACAGGGCTGTCCTGTCTGTACTGTAGTAGTCCTGTCTGAGCTGGAAGCAACGAACACCAAAACATCCACCACCCACTGGGTGATGAACGCGGCACTCCTGAAGCTGAGACACGTCTCGCAGCCCATTCGACGCGACAGAGCGACGCTGGCATACACACGCACACACACACACACCTCAAAAGACGCTATAGCGCTTGAAAATACATACATGTTGATTAACCTGCGGGCGAGAGCAGTAGAATCTGTTGAAACTGCTACCGCTGGAAACCCCAAGGCTGGAAAACAAGCTGAGACTTGAGGGGACAAAAACAAAAACAGAAGAAGAAGAAAGAGAGAGAAAAACAAAACAAAAAGAACTCACTACTGAATACAATGTGGCCGTGGGGTGAGTGGCCTAATACCAAAGTCATAGACATGAAAGGTGTTTCTGTCCAACCCGATCTTATCCCTGGCCAGATCAGGGGTGCTGTCACAGTGAGGACAGACACTCTAGGTGTATTCGGAGTGGGGAGCGTCGCATTTGTCATCTGGAAATGGCCGGCCGCCGGGACACGTCTCGACTGCAAGTACAAAACAGCCAAGTCTTGTTCTGGTATTTAATCAAGAGAGCACTTGAGGCCTACCGATACGTTTGACTGCCTAGATTAGCCCAGTATGAAGTTTTCTTTTTCTTTTTTACAGAGACCTAGACCGCAGACGCACATCCAGATCTCCCTTGTCTTATCTGTAGGACTGCGTCAAACCAACCGCCAAACTCCCCGCAAGCAAAAAATCCCCAGCTCGATCCTCCATCTTGTCTGGCCGAGGCTATCCGGGTTTTGAGGTGCATGTTAGGAGCGATACGGTGACAACTGATGTGTCCCGGCAATGGCAGTCAGCAGCTACCTGTGCCGTCCCTGCGGTTCCGATCCGGCCTCCCGGATCAAGAAATGGTTAATCCAAAGCCCGAGCCGATCCGGGATCCAACCGGATCTGAGCCCTACACCACGACCAGGCAAAATCAATTGAAAATCACCTGGACCTGCGGACGGGGAACCGGTAGGCCATTCAACTGGCCTGGACGTCCGGGTAATTAAAGCTCCCACTCCTCCAATTGAATGGAGGATGGGCAGCAAATCGAACTCGTTACCACCTCATCTCCGCTTTTTTTTTTTTTGATTTCCAGAGGCAAGTCAAAAAAAAAGTGCTCCCTCCTAGAGCGCTCTTTCTTTGACTCCCTCCAGGAATCGAAAAAAAATGGATTCTGTCCACCAACCATCATGGCTCCTAACCGGGGTCCCAACTAATTAGCCCTAATTTGTGTGGCTTTGTTCAGGTTGCCTGGCTCACCAGTCCCCATCATCAACCTATTCTCTTTTGATAAGCTAATAATCAACTATTTTGTATTCATTTCAGATTGTTTTGGTAACTGAAAATAAGCATATCCAATTTCTGAGAGAGAGGAGGGATTGAAAAAAAGAAAAAGAAAAATGTAATGATGAAAAAGGACACAGAAAGGACAAGGAAAGAAGCAGTGAATTGGGTCAGTGTTGTGCAAATTTGGTTGTAGGCCGGTTCACTTAGAGGCCTCAGTGGTGCTCATTCTGGGTTGAGTATTATATTGCTTCACTCTGGCAGCAACTTTGTCTGCAGTTGGTAGTTCCTGCAATTCTTTGGGTATGTTGTTAATGGTCTTGGTGTCATCCAAGATGTTGCAATCATGCTCAAGAACTAACTCAGCAAATGCCAAGCAAGCTGTCTGCGGCTGCTTCCAACACAGCTGAAGATCTTCATCAACCATTTTGTTGGAAATTCACTCATTGACCCCTGTTCCTTCTCTTCTCTTGTCTCACATGTCATTCTTTTTCTTGCTCTGCCCGGTTAAATCCTCATGTTGGTTGTTATTCAAAATGCACCTTGCTGAGTGCCCACAACTCAGCCTCCTGTATTTAGCTATTTAATCAACCTCCTGCTTCTGAATAAAACAACTCATCAGTCTTGACCAAACTTGTTCCTGTTGTTGGCACTTCAGCCCCNGAAGAGATAGCAAGTAATGGATTGATGGGAATAGTGGGATGTAAGGGCAATAGGAATTGTCCATCATAACATGACGATCAAACAGAAGGATAAGACAAGAAGCAACCAAAAAGAAAAAAAGAAAAAAAAAGAGAGAATCAATATCTATACGTTTTCAAGAACAACAAAAAAAAAAAAAATTGGCAGGTGGACTGATCAGATGTGGATATGAATGGGTATACAAATCACTTATTACTTTCTTTTACTGTCTGCTGTCTGACTGAAATTGCCTGCGTGAACATGTTGTAATGATTGAAAAAAGAGTCCTGTCGGATGGTCAGAGGCCGGGAAAAAACGATATGTTGATAATATGTAACTGCAGGCATAAAATAAATCTAGCCTGTCCAGCTGCGCAATAAAAGTTCTTCTTCTTCTCCCTCGGAGTAAGATTCTTATATGTTCATTTTGCTAACCCCTGGATAGTTGGATAGGGTGTTTGGTTGTTTGTTGGTTGGTTAGTCGCAAAGAATTTTAATCAAAAGGGGAAGGAAAGAGTTAATTCAATCCCCTATTGTTTTTCTTTTGTCTGAAAGTCAGATAGATCAACGTGACGTACACCATCGACTGATTGCTTCGTTGGCGACTAAGGTGATAATAGTATGCTAGTAATAACAAGAAATGTTCTATCAGAATAACGTGTTTACCAGGAGGAACAACATGAAAATGATGACTTACGGGTGCAATCCTGAAAAAGTGTGCCGTTGAGCCTTTGTAGCTAGGAAGTCAAAGAAACCATGAAAAAAAAAATATA